GGGGCAGGGCGGCACTCCCGCCGAGGGTTCGGATCCCATATAGAGACCGGTCCGCTCACTGGTTGAGCGCGGTGCGGGCGTGACACTGAGGGTTGCGATCCGTTGCTGGCCACGGAAAAAGATAAAAGACAAAAAAAAAAAAAAGAAGTTATAGTTTTCTGGGCCAGCCCGGTGGCGCACTCGGTAGAGTGCGGCGCTTGGGAGCACGGCGGCACTCCCGCCGAGGGTTCGGATCCCGTATAGAGACCGGTCCGCTCACTGGTTGAGCGTGGTGCGGGCGTGACACCGAGGGTTGCGATCCCATTACCGGTCACAAAAAAAAGACAAAAAAAAAAAAAAAAAGAAGTTATAGTTTTCTGGGCCAGCCCAGTGGCGCACTCGGTAGAGTGCGGCGCTTGGGAGCACGGCGGCACTCCCGCCGAGGGTTCGGATCCCATATAGAGACCGGTCCGCTCACTGGTTGAGCGTGGTGCGGGCGTGACACCGAGGGTTGCGATCCCATTACCGGTCACAAAAAAAGACAAAAAGGAAAAAAAAAAAAGAAGTTTTCCCCAATAGTTCATTCCCCATTTTTTGATAAGAGCCTGCTTATGTTCTGTCTGGGACTAAACACAGTCAGCCTGAGCCTGGGTGGCAGGGAAAGGAGATCAGATCAGAATGGCAAGCAGGCAGGAGACTGGAGGCAGGTCATACGCCACTGTGTGTAGACTTAGTGTATCACTTCGTGTGACAGAAGCCAGTGGAAAGGGAACAGGTAAGAAGCAGGGAGAGCAGTTAGGAGGCTCCTGTAGCAACCCAGGGGAGATGATGGTGGCTGGGACCTGGGGAGTGATAAGAGAGCTGAGAAATGGTCAGATTTTAGATATTCTTTAAAGGCAGAGCCAATAGGACTTATTGATGAACTAGGAATAGATATGAAACAAAGTGTCAGAATGAGACCAATGTTTGTGGCCTGAGCAAGAATAAGAATAGAGGCTGGCCAGTTAGCTCAGTTGGTCAAAGCACAGCATTATAATACCAAGGTCAAGGGTTTGGATCCCTACACTGGCCAGCCCCTGGGGGGGAAAAAAAGAATAAAAATAGAGTTCACATTTATTGAGTTAGGAAAGATTTCTAAATGAATGGGTTTCTTTTTGGAGATCCAGGGGTGGTAGGAGAATACTGGTGTAGGCTGAGTATCCCTTATCCAAAATGCTTGGGACTGGAAATGTTTTGGATTTCAGATTTTTTTTGGACTTTGTAATATTTGCAGACACTTTAATGAGCTGAGCATGCCTAATCTGAAAATCCAAAATGATCCAATGA